CTGCTAAAGCACAGTTAGAATTCTTTGTTGGCATACACACATTTCACTGCAGCTGAAGGCCTGAACCACAGCCCACAGAACTCAGTAAAAACCCGTAAATCAACATCAGTGGACTTTGGATCAACCTCCTAATGAATTATTTAGTCACTTTAAAGACCGTTCTTAGTTTTAATTATATCTTATTGACTTCAGTAATGGGCTTTCTTGACTTAATCTGTCTTGACACTTAAAAAATATTTAAAAAATATTTACGGGGCATAAAATAATTAAGTGTTTCCCTTTCTCCTGCTGTTAATTACCAAGACTTTTTGTTCTTAAACTGCTTATACTATTGTAATTTGGCACATGGAATGAGATACAGGTATTGCACACAAAGCATTAATGTTTTTGTTCTGTGATAAATTCCATAATGTAAAATATAATTCTCACTTTAAAGCTCCTTTTTATTGACTACTAGAGAGCTTATATTCAAAGATCTTCTAATATAGTTATCTTTAAGTGTTTTTTAACTAATAGTCAATTTAGAAATCTAGAAGCAAAGACAAGGAATTATATGCACTTTAGTTTATTATTAACTGTATTATTTTACAGTTTATGCAAGTATCTGCATTTTTTTTTTCACAGTTTAGAAATGAAGAATCAGAAAAATTTGTTTTATCTTTCAAAATCCTAGGCCTGTTATGGAACCATATCTGTACTCCAATAGGCAGTCTCTGGGATCTGACAGAGGCCGATGAGAGTTGTGGTTGTGGCTAATAATTGCTCTTCCATTTATTTTTTTTGTTTTGTACCTAGGTGAAATGTCAACAAAAGTGTCAAACATTAAACTGAAAATTGATCCTCGGGATCTGCAGATCCAGACGTTTACAGTGCAGAAATTATTGGAACCACTGATAATTCAGGTATTTCAGTATTGCAGAAAACAAATTGGATAATCATAGAGGGAGGGGAATAAGACTGATTAACTTTGGCTAAGGACACTATGAGAGGTGTATCCACAGCTCTTCTGTACTTGTAGTTTACTCTGGCTCAGAAAATGTCCGGGGGGATCTGTCTTCTTTCAGATTTGATCATTCATTTTGTCACTCCCGTTTATCCAAATGCTACACTGTATATTGTAGCAGATCTTGCATGTTCTAGCTGTTCTAGTGTGTTGTACAGTATTATCTAGTGGATGTTTAAATGTAGAATACACTGCAAATGGATTTCCAACACATGAAAAGTTTTGTATAGTAAGTAGTGGACAGAGAGGAAAATTAGAGCCTTGAAATCCGTGGATGAGTTTCTTTATCTGAATTTTGAGAAGAAATGCATTTTGGTACATTTTTAGAAGAGATGTCTTAAGAGCAGTGCAATTGTTGCATGTTGCATAAACCTATTTTAGTACTTTTCATTCCAACTAAAGAAAACTTGGACTGAGAGATCTGGACTTTCAGGTTTGTTGACAGAACTTTATTTTTAGGAGGAGCAATTTTGCTGCATATTCCAGTTCCATTTCAAGTATTCAGTGGTTAAGCATGCAGTGCTTCGTGTATTCCAGATTTTCTCATTATCTCTATATTTGGCATGAATTAGAAATGTCTTTTTTAATACAATGGAAGGGACATACTTGCAGAAGGCCTGACCTCATTTTGCAAATAATGCATGTAACTGAGAAAATGTTAAAAAACCTATGTAGCGATATGTTAGAGGGTAAAGAACAGAAAGGACATACTCTCTTTTGAAACTCAAGCTATTTTGACTTTTCACTGTACTGAGACTGATGATGTTGAGGTACCTGCATTTAATTAGTCAATTACACATAACACAAGGATGCCAGCTTATCTTTGTCCTTTAGCATTGCCAAGATGTTGTAGATCAAACTGCTTGTCACAGCTGTATGCTACTTATTTAGTATTCTTTTCCTGGTGCCTGAGGCTATATTTACCTGTCAATCACTGCTCTAGCTGCAGTTTGTGTAGTTAACTAGTGGTGTGGCTTCATTCATAATTTTCTTTCGCTTGCTAATGTATGAAGAATACTTGGTTGTTTTTCAGGTCAGGTATAATGGCTATGAAGTAGTTTCGGTGATTGGTTGATTAAGATCTTTCCAAGCTTGTTAAGTAATGCCTCTTACAAGACAGTAACTTTTTGTTAAATAGCTTATGTTAACAATCAAGAAGCAAAACTGATACTGTGAGGATGACTGTTGATAAAGAGAGCAAAGCCAGATTGAATACTGTATTCTGGCTGTTATTCTATTTAATATACATGTAAGAATTGGGGGTGTACAGCTTAATAGAAAAAGGTAATGACGTATCTGCCAAGCTTTCTATTATTTCAATTTTTTCAATTTGCAACTTTTCTATTTTTAAAAAATAAATGAGTAAAATCGTCTTAATTAAGACTGAAACAATTATAATTGTACTTGAACAGATATTAAAGGAAAAAATATATTTTCTTGTACAACTCATTTGACTGCACTCAGCCACTTGGGTACATGGTAAATTTTGTTACTCCAGGAACGCACTTCTTTTCACACACCCTGCTCTGATGACATCTTTCCTTCTTTGTCCTGGAAGCCAGTCCTTTGCATGCTGTTTCCCTGGGCTTGCCAAAAGGTTGTGACCAGATATGGGGAACAGTCAGACTATAATTAAAGAGGCAGCACATAGTGATTGGAGGGAAGAAGAATAGAGAGATGAAAGATGAAGACAGTGAAATTACGAGTGTGTTTGCTGCAATGGTTTTTATGTTTATTTGGACTTTCTTGTTGGAAAAGTCCTTTACTTAATCCGGAAGTGCTGTTATGTGCTCTAAAAGCTAGGAAAAGTGAAGAGGTGCTGATCATATTTTATAACAGTTGTAGGAAAAGCTGCTTTTAAAAAAGCAGTTAATTAGTTGAAATAAGTTTTTTTTTAACAGATAAAGGTGTATTTTCCGCATTTGAAACTTTTGCCTCCCTCTATCTCATCCATTTTCTTTTATTACTTTTTTATTATCACCTTTGAAATTTATTTTCTTGTTTTTGGCTTGATCTTCTTTTCCTCACTTAATCATTTGTCCCTTCTGGAAGATTCCTTTCTTCAGAAAGTAACCTTTTCTTTTTATCATTACTTCAATTCCAGCTGTTATTAACTGAGCTGCCTCTCACTCATTTTGTCTGCCTTTGTTTGTTTTTGGCTGGGTGTGATTGACAGTGTATAAAACCTCAGTTAACAGTTCAGTGGTTTGTGGGAAGTCATTAAGCTGGAGCATCATATGTGGATGGATTATAAAATTACTTTCAGAGTAGTAGGAGTAGGTATCTTGATAGACGCATTTTAAAACCTTCTTTTGTATACCAGTAGGTCAGACCATGCTCAAGCACCCACAACACTGTGCATATTTTAAGAGGAGATGAAGAAATGTAAATTTTGGCCCGAGTTTTGCAGGATCAGAGAAACCGGACAAAACAAAGAAATTAAGTTCCAGAATTCCAGAACAAAACAAATAAACCATCTTTTTTTTTTTTTTTTTTTTTTTAAAGAAAAAGCTCTTCTCAAGCATGTTTAAAAAGCTTGAATCTGTTAAAAATGGAAATGCTTTGGTTCAAAGAGAATAAGATTTTGTCTGTCTTTTCCCTCTCTCAAACTTAATCCTTTGTTTTGTAACAGAACTGTGGAAGGGGAACTTGCATTTTGAGTGGGAAGGACTAAAGATGTTGAAAATGCAAAATCAAGGACTAAAACTAATACTCGATGAAGAATGATTGAGATCCTGGTTTCCTTTCTTGGAAAGGAAATAAAGAAAACTGATCTATGATTAGAAAGGGAATCAGACCAGTCACAGATGAAAATGAGCAGTATTATGTGCTGGCCTGATTCACTTAGTGGATGTTGTTTTGAACATAGTCTAACTTTATTTTGAGATTTATCTTCCAATTTATTTATTTAATAGTCTTGTAATGCTGTGGTAGGAAAGAGGCAGTGGAAGTGTTTGAGCTTCTCTGAAGTCTGTCCTAGCCAGTTATGCTAAGTGTTAGAGCAACCGTTAGCATCAATATGGGAGAAAATGAAGGTGAAACAGCCTTTGTGGAAGTAACTTTGCAAATGACTTTGCTAGGTTCTCTCTCTTCCCTGCAGTCTGCAATTGTCAGTGGTGATCGTTTTGACACATTGTTTGTATAAAACCCTCTCTGACTTGGCAACTTCTCCATCCTTGGAATAAAACAATACCTCTAAATTACAATGTTCAGGGGATTGCAAGGGCAGCAGTCTCACTGAATTTCTCTCTTTGCGTCCCAAACAGCAACCTGACCTAGGGTGGTAAATTCAAACCGTGCTGTGCAGGGCTCTGCAGAGATAGAACCTCATATGTTGGAAGTGGTGTAAATGCATTGGTGCAATTCTGTGTCCAACCTTATAAACTGTACTCTCATGGGGATGTACTACCAGCTGCACTTTGTTTTCTACATATTGCAAAAAAGTTTCTTTAATCCTATCTGATTGCCCCCTCGCCAGAAGGGGGGCAATTCTCTCTGTCTGTGGCCTTTATTCTGTTTTATTCCAGGTGCTTTGAGGACATAAATTTTGAAAGGCAGGCTTTAAGGTAAAGTTCTCTATCAATGCATGTAGCACATGAAAAATTATAGTTGTCAAAATTGACATCTTTCAGCTGACAGCTATGTTGATATACATTGAATACATGCTAAGACAAACTCTTTCCTTTTGGCCTTTTATTAGAGATGCAGTCTATTAGTCTATTGTGGAGTAATTAGTGTGGAGCAATCAGATCATAAAACATTTTGATTCACATAGCTGATGTCTAATATTTGTCATGTTTGTGTTGGATTTACTCACAAAATGTAACAATTAATGTAATGGAAAATATCCTCTTGTTTTATCTCACCCTCAGAGACTGAAGTCTGTTTAATCTTTTTTCTATACTATGTAATGATTACAGTTATGGCTAGGTGTAAACTTGCTTCTGTAGCAAACCTTTTGAATTTACGTACAAGGAAGAATTTTGAAAGGTATGACTTGATGAGATTCATATAGCTTCACTAATTCATGCAGACAGCACTTCATAACTGCCTTTGCTCTGCAGTCCATCAGAGTCTTATAAACTGTAAATCTGACACTTATTTGGACATTGTATCTAAAGCTCTCTATACATTTGTGTATACACACACTTAATATATATGTTATGTGTGTGCATGTATACATAAGCATATTTGTAAGAGCTTTTCCTTGTCAAACCTCTTGTCCTCCATCTATTTGTATTTTATACATACATATGAGCTAAGGAAAGTTTATGGCTCCAAGAGATAGGCTAGTTTTGCAGAATATGTAGAAACATCCATATATTTTAGTCCTTTGCATCACTGATGAAAAATAGGCAAGTTGAAAGGAATTTGTTCTCACATGTCATTCATGCTGAAAAAAGTTTGCTCACCTGGAAAACATCCACTATTAATTTTAGTTCTATGTATGGTGAGTTTACTTTATGCATACTGAAAGTGATTAACCAGTATTCATGGGCAATGCTTTGTTATCCTCAGTCAGCTGACTAGGATTTGAAACAGCAAGTGGGGTGTCTGCTCTTGTCATTACATCACCACGTTCCTGTCTTGTTTTTTCAAATGTCTAGGGATTGCAGTTACACTGAACTAAATTTTAAACAAAAAAAAATGTTTTATGATTGATGCTTTGAAATACTTTTGGTTCACCTTTGATATGAATATAAATCTTTTGATGCTCAAGGTACCAAGACATTGTTTCCGTAACTACTGTAATATTAAAAGATTGCCTCTAAAGGATGGCAGGAACTCAGTATGGCATTGGAAGAACTGCTGCACAGTTCCTTTGGAATTCGGTATTTGGGATAATCATGACAAAAAATCCCACCCCTTCAGCCTAATAAATAATGGCAATAACAGGCAACAACAACAACATGATTCAGCTTTGCAGCTGTGATGCCATATGGGCTGGAAAATCTCACTTTAAAAAAATCTTGTGCTGGTAGCACAACATTGTTGCTCCTCCAAGAGACACAAAATAACCTCTTGACAGTGATTTCAGTTGAAGGCTGGGAGATATTAAGTATATGGCAAAAATAACATGTTAATAACTAGGAAATGCAATTGGGCATGAGCAGGATTAATGAGGATATGTTTTTATTTCTTCTTCTGATGATATAATTTTGCCACTACAGTACAAGCTGTGTTGACAGTCGATCAAAGGGCACACTGTATTAGCTGCCGTGTAATTCAACTGTTTCTGTGTAAGATCCACATAAAGTTTTTGCATTCTTCATTGGGATTCTGTGTTAGAGAATTCAGAGTAGTTTTTATATGTTCGTTGATCTCCATGAGCCAAGAATTCCCTATGAAATTTCAACTTGTATTTGAGATCAGAAGCTGCCTCGGATATTTCCTGACAGTGATGCTGAAGATGAAGAGTCTTACAGTGAAGAGTTGTAATTTGCAGGAATTATTATTTTTTCGTATTTTCCCATTTGTTTTGTTTCCTTTCCTCCTCCTCCAAAACATATGAATGAATGGTACATAGAATAGTATTCTACATAAACAGGAGACTACAAAAAAATCGGAGAAATAGAATATCTTATTTTCTGGGAATGGTGATTAAATACTTAAGATGCTTTAAAAATGTCTTTTACTTGATAGGTGTTTGGGGCAGCTTGTAATGTGTGGGGTTTTTTTTTAACAATGTTTTATGCCTTTGTTATTGGAAGTATCAGCCTATAATCTCTTAAACTCACTCTTAAAAATATGATCATTGAAACTGCATTAAATGTTCTAGAAATAACATTAGAGGGTTTGTGAAAATAAAAGATACTAAGGTTCTTATTTCTGGTGCATTCTCTACCAGCTGACCGATTTATATGTAGTAAATAGTTTCATTTACTTTTTTGAGCCACAGTCAGAAAAATACCCAAGCCCTCTTTAATAATCTGAGCCAGAGTTATTTATGTTGCTGTCTCCCTTGTGACTGCCACAGCAGTCAATGTCAAGTGGTTGGTCTTTTTTCCCCCAAAATTCCACAGGAATGATGTAGACGACAGGGCTTTTTTCTTTCAAATATGTGTTTATAGAAATGCTTCCCAGAGGATGTTTGTCAGTTACTTTCAAAAGTACTGATTCATAAAAAGCATGAAAGTGTGTGAATTCATGAACAAGATCTAAAGGTGAGCTAGGGCACAGCTAGCACACTTCTCATTACATACCTGTGAATGGAGCCCTTTTCCATAGACCAGCTCAAACCACAAGCCGTGCTGCAGCTACTAGCTAGGTTTCCCTGCTGGATTGAGAAATTAATACACAGCTTTTACTTTGTTTATACAATATTGTTGATGATTGGAATGCCATTAAATTAAGCAATTATATATATATAAAATATGTTCATTGAGCTCCAAGACTAGATCTGTACATAATGTTATACTATCCATGTTCTGGCACAGGGAACAGAATAGAAGGAGGACTAAAAAACGTAGGTGAACTTAATGAAAATAAAGTATGTTTTAAAATATCTATATAACAATTTTAAAATCTTTTAAGAGTCTTTCCTTAGTGCGATAGCTGAAGCAATGACTTAAGAGAATAGTCCATTAGAAACATCCTATTGCAGTGTGGAGGTTGTGCCCAGATGATGAGGGATATGGAATGGGGATGCTATATAAAAATAAGTTCTTTATGGATGTTGAAGTGCACTGTTAAAAACCATGATTTGGACAAAGCTGCAGTAAACCTACATTCTGGGTAATATTATGTACAATTTTAATGTTGAGAGCCCCTCAGTGAATTCTGAGGTGCTGAGTTCTGACAACAGTGATCCTCCTTTGTAAGAAGAGAAAGCATTTTGAAATGTGTCTATACTCTTTTTGGGTGTTTGCTTCTGAGATAATTTGGGAGATTTAAGCTGGAAGTATGGGAAGATTCAGCACTGATTATAATTCCTGCCTTGGCTGAAGCCTCCTTAGATAGCATTAGTAATTTTTTTTTATCATGAGGAAACTTTAAAATAAGCGTTATCAGGAGTTTGCATCAGGGTTAATAACAGTGAGATTTCTATTGACTTCGCTTTGATCATACAGAAAGAAGAATAAAAAGATGGGGCATATTAAATAAAATTATCTGTCAAATTTGATTCAATAGTTTTGCCCATTCTCAGTACATATGCTGAACTTGCCTGTCTTTCTCTAAAGCAGGGGAAATATCATTGCTTATTCTCAACTATATTAACTTGATTTTTTTTTAATTTGAGAACAATATAAATTCATTTACTATAGAACTTACACCACCATTGTCTTTTTTTAATTTCTTTTAAATGTAGGTTACAACACTAGTGAACTGTCCACAGAATCCTTCGGGTAAGAAAAAGGGCCGTTCCAAAAGAGCTAGTGTCTTGCTAGCTTCTGTGGAAAAAGCCACTTGGAATCTGTTGGACAAGGGGGAAAAAATTGCCAAGGAAGCAAGTGTGTTTAAAGAGGAACTTCATGCAGCACTCACTGATGTCCGGAAAGAGAGTAAGTATATGACAAATATATATGGGCACCATAAGGAATTAGTTTAGCCATGTAACACTGGTGTCAAAATGAAGCCAGGATATCCATGATAAATATGTTTTGATGTGCAAATGTCTGAACTTTGAGTTGTCTAGTTCTATGTTCTCAGTTACCACATAAGACAGTACAGCACACAAGCTGGGCCCCATTGTGGAAAAACACTTAAGTCAGGGGAAATTTTGTTGTGTTTGTTTTTTTTTTTTTTTTCAGTGAAGACAGGATTCCCTTTTTGATTTTAGTGGCTGTTAAGCACAAGTGAAAGTTAATGCATGCTTTAATGCTCTTCTTGAGAAGAACTGTTGTCCTGAATTTGAGATTAAAGCCTTTTAGTTAAAAATTTAAAACTAGAAATCTTCCCTCTTTTGTGCAGTACTAAGGATTTAATTTGGGAAGGTGTAATAGTCCTGTTTGGAGGTATGTTTTGAGACTTCAGTAGGAGGAAGATGGGTTCATTACCAACTGTAAGAGTCATCCCCTCATGATAGAGCAGCTCATTTTTGGTGAATTTTGCCTTATTCCATTTTCTCATGACTTATCTCCCCATTTCCAATCAGACTCTCAGAATAGGTCTAGGTTTTATGATCTGCTGAGAACACTGTATTAACCACTTTCTTTCAGGCTCTTTGTTGCTTTGTTGATTTTTACTCTCCCAATGGATAATCAGGGCCTCTTGGGTGAATATGAAGGCCGGGCTCAAATAGTAATAAGCCAGATGACAGACATCCAAAATGTGTTCCTGCACAAATCAAGCTTGAAAATTGCAAGCAGAAGGTTTCAGAGAAAAGGAGACAGAAGAGTAACGCTTTTAGTGTCTGGTCATTTTAGAATTATGTCCTTTCATCAGTGCTCCATGAATTTTGTGAAAAAATGGTTCCCAGGGGTTGTCTGGACTCAGATTAAGACATGCTGATGAAAGCAGGGGCATTCCCAAACAAGTGGGAGCAAACAAGGAAAGAACAATGGTCTGTGCCGTAAAGTTATTGTCAGGCCACGTTATTGAATGAGCTAGCAACCAGGCTTTGTTTTGTCAAGGGGCAAAGTGGGATTCAGCTGCCTTTTCACTGCTGAGCAGTGTGGTCTATGTTCTTGTGCTGACTGCATGTTAGGCATTTAAGTCAGGTCTTTACATCACCCTGCTCTTAGTGCATTTGTGACTTAATCAGGATTTATTTATTTATTTTGTCATCTTCCATGTGCAGATGGGACAGTTTCTGAGTCTCTGTTGGTGTTCAGGCTGGTGATTTCTAGGTACTGGCTTCCTCTGGATCCAGACATGGCTGCGTTCTGGAGTTTCATGTATGCATATAGTGTCTGAGACACCTTAAAGTCCTTTGTTATTAAAAGTGTTATGACCAGTAAATGCCATTGTTATCTGTCGCACTGATCAGCTGAGGCTTTAAAAAAATAATTCATTTGGAGTACTCTTAAAATGTTAGCCCATCCATTCTAAGCCGATAATGCAAGACAAGAGTAAAATATATAGTTTTGTATTGTTTTTTATACATAGATAATAGAAACATTTCACATTTTCAATTTATTTATTGATTGTCAGCCAAGACCAGAGATAGCTACAAAAATAAGTAATACATAAAGTAGATAATGTACACCTCATACATTTTAAAAGAAAGTTAAGTCCATGTTATCACCTGTCGTTATACAATGACAAATTGTGTGTTCATAGCTGATCTTCCTCCAAGGATTTGCCAAACTGTGCAAGTTAATTTTAAGAAGTTGGTGAACAATTGTAAAATAAATATCAGTTTATTAGTTTTCCTGATACTTAGTCCTTTGAAGCTGTGTATTTTTAATTTGTGGTATGCCATATCATGTGTAACTTTGTTGCCTGTTATTCAAGTCACATTCTGGTGCTATTAAATGTCTTATGTTATTTACTTCAAGCTCTTTGAAGGGATGTGGGCCATAAATTCTGGTAAACTGTTCTTGCATGCAGCCACCTGCTATACATGTCATAGCATATAGTATTTAATTTTCTGTGGGTGTATTTTTCTGTGGTGACTGGCAGGTATTTTTACTAATATACTCTTAAATTTTTTTTTTTTTTGCATGTATTGCTTGTATTTACTGTATAGTGGAATTTTGAAACAATACTCTGGATGATTTCACTCAGATGTGAACCAAACTATCAGTCCCGGAGTTGCATGCCAACATCTGGAAATAATAAATACTCTCTTACCTCTTCTCTCATTTTAGCTGGTGTCACTCGGTGAGCTTGTTGAGTTGAAGACTGTGACATGAGAATTAAACATTTCTTTTGAATGTCAGTCGCCCGTGTGAAAATGCTGCGTTGTTACTTTTGGAGCTCATTAATAGGGGTTCCTTTTGGAGGAGTGATAAACTTCTTTTCAAGCTACTGCTGCGAATCCTGTTCATAATAATGTTTTGGCAAATTAGTAGCATAGAAGTGAACAGTGGTGATAAGATAAATAGAAGGTTTGCCTTATTTAGTTAATGTGATGCGTTAGTGACTTATGTCTTCAGAAATGGGGGCATGGGGATGGCTTCACTGACTACAGTTTGGTCTTAACACTGTCAGTAGATGAGATTTTGGTCTCAAATTCACTTGTTCTGTTAGTGACATCTGAAAGAAAGCGTTGCTATAATGGATGACAGGCACGTTCCCTGGGTGAATCTAGTTTCTGCTTCCTTTGACATCTGCAAAGTTTTATCAAAGATTCATAGTCTTGGAGGTGATCATCTTAATATGGAAGTCCTCTGCATTTTTCTTTGTGTTTCCTCTCGAGGAAGTACTTTTTAAGACCTGTGTCTATCCACATCTTGATTCCCCTTCTTCTGGAACTCTACTAAATGAGTCCCCAGGCAGGCCTGTGGGTGGTAGACTATGTGCATCACCCACAAACCACGAGCCTAGTAACTGAAGAACTGCTGTGTTTTCCTGTTGATCTGATTTAATGAAGCTTTGTTAAAGGGCACTCATGTACACATTTTTATTCTAAAATAGTGTAATAAACCCAAATATAAGTATTTTGAAAAATTTTCACTGACAGTTTTCATGTATACAGCATTTCAAAAAATTGCCTTCTGACTCAATGTGTGCTGTGAATTAACAATAAAATAACTGACCTCTACACAAAGCAATAAGGAGCATCGCTGTTCAACCATGAACACTTTTGGCACTAAACATCAGACTATAATTAATATCCTGATTCTGATATTTAATAGATTTTAAGGCGAAACAGTGGTGTAGTTTATGTAGTGAAACGTTATCTTAGGAATTTACATTAAAGTCTAGAATTATATTTAGGATAATGATTTTTTGTATTTATGTCAAGGTGTGATTACTTATAGTTTTCAAACAGTTGTACAGGCATAGCTGAAATGTTTGGTATTATTGCCATTGCTTACTGACTATATATGGTCAGAAACACCACAGTTGTTGTCTGTGTTGTTTCTATCTATTGCAATGTCAGTGTTTCATGTGTTTAGCTGTTATCATACTCAAGTGTGTTCCTAGATAAGACTTTCGTCACACATACCAGTGAATTGAAAGCCAGTTACTTGCTGGAATTACATTTTGAGCCTTCAGTTACTTGTGAAAAGGAAATTAGAAAAGATAATTTGATACTCTGAATGTCTGTATTTAATGTCTTTTGACATTAAACAGGGGAGGCAAGACTCTGATGGCATGGAAGAAACTACCATTCACTGGCAAGAGATGGGGAGTGTGCTGTAAGGTTATTTACTAAAGGAAGGGAATAGTGGTCTGTTGTAATATACTATGTTCTTATTCGTCTCCCCACTCCCCCTCCAAAATCTTAAAACAGGTTAGCTTTCTCATTGTACATTAGGAGGTACATGTGTATGCACTGCATCTAAGGGACTTTCATTCTGGGAGACAGAATTTAGATGTCCAAGTGGCTTAAAATAATCCACTTTGAGACTAGGACATCAGAAATCCTCTATTTTTACTGTCTCTGGTACCTCCTTCCCTCCCTTAGTCAGTAAGTTCCCTTTGACAGCTGTGTTCTCTGGAACTGTAAATCCATCAGCCTCTAAGTGTACAGTTCACAGGAGTGGGTGACAGGACTTTCTTGGCAACAATACCTCCTTGTGGGAGGACACAAGAATGGCATGAAATTCACTGCATTCCATGTGAATTTCACACTGCTGCAGTTAAAAATAAAAAACCAGAGGAGAAAGCCAGATGTAGAAACAAAGAGAAGAGAAATGTGATGCTTAGATAGGATTTAGTAGGAGAAAGAAAATCTATCTAAAGAAATAATGGAAGAAAGCATAATTCTGGTGGTCTTGCCTAAAACAATAAAGAACATTAAGCGGTTGCCTGAGTGTAATCTTGAACACAGTCCCTGAGGGGTGCTCACTGACTGCAGTTAGTGGTAATACTGCAAGTATCTATAGACAGATTGCCTGCCATCGGAGCAGCCCAGCAGAAGCGTGTACCTTTTGTCGGCTATTTGACAATGGCAAAATTACCAGGAGGCTTACAGTTGACTTTTTTTTTTTTTTAAAGGAATTTTCATGTAAGTTTTTGGATATTTTTGGTGTTGAATAAAGTGCACGGATCCTCTAACTTTTTTAAAAAAATTGCCTGTGTCTGAACTGTGTTTTTACCTATCCCTGTGCCTAAGCACTGCCTTTTGTAAGCATATGCATAAGTAGTGTTCATTTGACAGTAGCAGTCAGTAGCTGATCAGCTAATGGCAGTAACACCATTTCCTTTGGGAGTCATCTATCTGTGTGTGCTGAATAGAGTCTTGGAAGTATCTGCCTTACAATAATTATGTAGTTATGATATATTCTGACTTTAGTTCTTTGAATTGCTTCTCATTTGAATGTCTAAAATGAAATAGTATGAATACTCTCTTTTTGCTTCTCTATTTGTGCCACTAAAAGGGTCTTTCATGTTTCATTGTTTGTGACAAATGTAATTATGGAAGAATATCCACTTCATGGGAATTACAATAAAATGGATGAAATTGGAGTGAACTGTCATGCTGTCTGCTGCATCTCAAGAAAGTTCTAACATTGTGTTGTTGTTGTTGGAACTGTCATTTTCTGATGCTTCTACTCATGGCTTCTACCTGACTAGGCTGCATTTTATAGCTCTCTTTTAGGGTCGTGATTTCATAGTTGTTCATCTGGCCATTCCAGCTCATTTTTAAAGGGTTAATTGTATTTCAGATCCTTCTGGCTTTTCTTTGTTCACACAATCACTCACAGAACAGTTGAGGTTGGAAGGGACCTCTGGAGGTTACCTGGTCCAACCCTCTGGCTCAGGCAGGGCCACCAGTCTGCCCAGGACCATGTCCAGTCAGCCTTTGAATATCTCCATGGATGGAGACTTCACAAGCTTCCTGGTCAGCCCATGCCTCTGCTAAGTCACTTTCACAGTGAGAAAATTTGTTCTGATGTCTAGATGGAACCTCCTGTGTGCCAGTTTGTGCCCGTTGCCTCTGGGCCTGTCACTGGGAACCACTAAAAAGAGTGTGTTTCTCTCTTCTTTGCACTCTCCGTTCAGGTATTTGTAAATAAGGTTCTTCTGCGCTTTCCCTTCTCTAGCCTGAAGAGCCCAAGCTCTCTCAGCCTTTCCTTGTATGAGAGGTGCTCTAGTCCCTTAATCATCTTTGTGGCTCAAGTACTCAGAAGATATCAGTGTTGAAATTGTACTGTTTTCAGATCCTAGGAATATTTGAGGTTTTAAAGTTTCTCAGGTGCTTGAAGGACACCCAAACCTGTACGGCCATTCTCTTCTGGAAGGCACAATAGCAGAGATCTGGGCAAATAATCACATAGGGCCTGTGAAAATGCAGCTGAGCCTTGTGTTTATGGATGGGGGAAACATTACATCAGAAGTTCTGAGGAGCTGCTGTGCTGTCAGAAGATTATATTTTTTGTTCACAACTTCTATTAAATACTCCTGGTTATAGCACTGTCTCCTATCCTCAGCTAAGCTATATCTCACTTCTCTCCTGATCCATTCAGTTACTAACACATAGACTCACCATCCACTCCTGTCTAGGCTTCTCAGAGCTGAGTACTTTCACTCCTTGCTAACCACCCAGTTCCTTTCTAATCTGCAGCTCTTCTTTCCTGGTCAGTTTTGTTTGTACAACTTTTACTGTGCACAAAGATTCTACTAGCAGGATATACAGAACTTAAAAGTATTTGGTTATTGACTAACATATACACTAGGTAGCTAAGACTAAATAGTGACTGAGCAAAGTGTTCGTGTATTTATTACTCCCAGACAGTTCTCGGTCATGGGGGAAAATGTTGGCCTCTGTTGCTCCTTTGGAACTGTGGCTTGGTTTTGCAGAGTTGTTATCTTGCGAGTTCCTGGGTCTTTTTTGCCTAAGGTTCGTAATTTTTCATGTCAGTATTTTTTTCACTTAGATTCTTTGACTGCTGATTTCTACTATCTCTACAACTCCACTTTTGTCCATGTTTTTACTTATCTTGTGTGACGTTAGCTAACGTACTTTCTTGCACCTTACCAAAAATTTTCAAAAGTCACACAATTGTACTATACCCATCTAGGTCTTGGATCACAGAGAGCTGAACCATAGGACTGAGGATTCTGCATAGTCTTCCTCTGATTGGTTGGTTCTCTCTTCCCCCTGCTCCAAATTTTCTTCTCAAAGTAACCAGTTCTATTTTCTTTTCTTATTGCCTTTCCTTCATTAATTCTCTTCTCAGTTTCTCCAGACATAACTAGTTTTCAACACAAGTTCTTCTGAACTGCGGCACATTCTGTGCCTAAGAAGTTTTAAGTTCCCCAAAGGTCACCAAGTTGAATTTCTAATAAGTAACAGGTAGTAGAATACTATGTGCTGTTTTCTTCTTCTCCTTATAAACAGTTCAGATGTTCTGTATGTCTAAAAAAAAAAAGTCAGCGCATAAACAGTGGAAAAAGGAGAGCCTGTCTTCCTTCAAATTTGCATCTCAGCACTTCTGTAGATTCTTTGAAGCTTAGTAGTAGGTAAGCTTTTACTGCCAGCTCCAGCTTGCCATCAGTGATGGCTTTAACTCGATCTCTTTCTTGGTTTCCTGTTTTCATGGAAAAGTAGTTAGCTAACGTTGAATGTCTTCCCCTGTGTAAAAGTTTTATTGAAGCTGATCAGAAATTTCAAAAGTTACCAGGTGGTCAGTCAAACAGTGATGATGTTAATTTTATTGTGTTGGGAAACAATGTCTCCCTGATGCTTTAGTCAGTATGTTTCAAAATGAATCCTGAAGGACCAAGGTGGACAGCTCTTATACTCGTACATCTTAATTGCTGAAATAATTTGCATTATTTTGTGCTTTCTTGTCTTCCTAAGATATTGCATGTGTCAGCTTCCTGGTTTTGTGTAAATGTTATATGGCAGTTATAATCTGAATTAATACTACAGTGTACACATTCCAAATACCTAAAAACCATGTGATGTTAACTTGCACTTTTACAGCCTGAAAGATAACATGTCAAATTTAAGATATTCAAAACCAATAATTGGCAGGACAAACAGATGGTAGTTAAATACTATGAACATAAAATGGAGACAATTTGTCAGGTTATTCATTGACATTGCTTGTTCTCAGAAATTTGGAAAGTTTTCATTCTACTTGAAGTCATAAGAGAAATTAAAGGGCAAGGATTTTAGTTTTATGATAGTGTGTATGCACTGTATTTCCCATGTCCTTGTTAAAGCACAATGAATTTCCAGAGTTAGTATCTTAAATTCCTGCTACAACTTCCCAAATGGCTAATAATTTATTAACATTTGTAGTAGTCACCTTCAAAAATACGTCTAAAGATACATATGCATGTAAGCAGGATCTTCGAGCTTTCTCCATTTGCTTCCCCACTCTACCCCTAGGATTACTGGTCTCAAATCAGTGCTTTGAAACTTCTTCCAGTACTGAAAATAGTACGCATCTAGAGAGGTGTTCCTGCCCATTGCAGATGGGGAAATGAAAAAAACCTTAAAAGCTGATCTTTCCAATTAATATTTGATTTTTATTTCCTGTAGTTTCATTTGTTGGGACGTGCTCAGCTATGGTGCATTATCTCACCGACAGCTAGGGAGAAGTTCTAATTTACTGTCTTGAGCACAAGAAACTGGTATTTTTTACTTTGACTGTTTTGTGATGTAGCAGCTGCTAGAACCAGGTCTCAAATTAGTGTGATTTTTATTATTTATGGAGCTTGCTAAGCATGTACTTAAGATACATGATTTGCTCAAAGACTTTAACAAACCCAGGAGAAAACCAGAGACCACCAATAAAGGTGGATGTTTCTGGAAAACTGATGAGTTCTAGCATGTTGGAAGTATTCAGTGTTCTGAGAATCAGGCCATTACTATCTCAGGTGCTGATATGAGGACTCTGTAGTAATTGGTATGTTTATGTCTGTGATCTTTGCTCAATATTTTTCTTAAACGCAGTTTCTAGTAAGAGCGGTAAATTTTTATTTTTTTGTGGATCTTGAGAAATTAAGTCGCATATAGAATGAGTCTGGCAAACTGGTGCATTTGAGTGGTTCTCACTGAATTCTGATTGAGGGAGCACAGAGAGTTTAATGGGTCAAATGTTTATTTTAGCAATTTGTGCTTACATCACAAGAGTTTTCTGGTGCTGTTTTGTGGAGAGTGAGAACTCTCAAGGTTGTGCCATCACTAGCAAAGCTTCTCAGGTGATAGTAGACTTTGAGATGCTTTTAGAGATTAGTTTAATGGCATTTTTTTTCTCAGAGTAAGTCTAGGTGACAGAGTGCTGAAAGTAAGCTAGGGTGTTTGTCATTGTTCTTATTGTTAGATTTCATTTGCAAAACTTCATGTTGGAGAGCCAGTATTGTTGTCTGCTGGCACAGTTACTAGCTCCATTGCATAGATTTCACGTGTTTTATGTCGGAGTCAGATGTTCAAGTGTATGAGATTTTCATTCCATTAACTTATAATGAGAAGAACAATATTTGATTCCTTTCTGTGAGCAGGAATTATTTAATATCAAGGACAGCAAAGTACAGAGTAATATAAAAAAGCAGTGACTAGAAAAGTTTAACAAAGCGCCTCTGGCCTCGTATACAGTCAAGAGTAATGGTGGAGTTATTTCAGAATTAAATGATCCAGAAGAACAGAAAGGGAACATCATTCAAAGTGTGGAACATTCTGCATGATCTGTAGTAATTGACCTTAATTTCAAGGTGTTAGGGCAACAAAGAGATACCGAATTTATTGGCAATACTTGTGGCTTGCCAAATAACCAATTGAGTTTTAGCTATTTTTTAATTTTTCCTGTGTGTTGCACAATATAGCCTAAAGGAATTTATGTCTTCATTTTGCAGGTCAAGCCTTAAAGGTATCAGCAGAGGCATTTACCAGTGATCCCTGCTATCTGCCCAAGAGGCAGGCTGTTGTCCAAGCAGCACGATCTCTGCTTACAGCTGTCACAAGGCTTCTAATTCTGGCGGACATGGTTGATGTGGCATACTTACTGGAACATTTAACTGTGGTGAGTAGAATTTGGCATAACTAAGATTCCCTTTAGCCAGAGAAGTGTCTGCTGGTGGATTTTTCTGCACTGAAAATTATTTTTCTCCTTTGGAATTGCAGATCTCATGCACAGAACATCTTGGCAGTTGGTAAAAGTGTAGATTGTAGATTAAATTTGCAGCATGTACCAAAAAAAAGTCTTGTAACTCAACATATTTGTTCTGGGAAAGCAGATGGTTGTCTATACTTATATACTATGATTATATTTTAACTTCCTTATATTTCTTATTTCCTATCTTCAGTAATATGTGACAGACTGATAAAAATTCAAAGTTCTGTTGACTTCTTAATGTTTCCGGGCAGAGGCGAATAGTCAGTGCCACCCATAATAATGCCTCATACCCCAAGAGGACCCACTGACTTAAAGGAGACCGTCACATCAGAAAATTCAGTTTGGTGAGGACAGGGGAATGAAAATTTACTTCCCGGAGTAGGAACAGTATTTCATAATAAAGCAGTGTTGTGTGGGTTTCAATGCTGTGTTTTAAACATCCAACACTGGCAATTATTGGAGATGCAGTACAAGCTAAAAGGAGCACTGACTTGCAGAAGCTTCTCTGTTGTTATACATGTATGAAATTTGTCAGCTGTAAGAAGAGTGGCCTATGTCTTTTGCACTGTTTGTGGAAATTTTACAGAAATTATTATATTTTTTCATTGGTAGCCTATTACATTTTTACATATGTATTTTCATAATCCTAGAGGCACCCTTCTGAAGTGTTTTCAGTATGTTTTATGTGAGACAACTGAATTGGGGTAGTTTTCTTTCCTAGAGTTTCAGTATTTCCAAACAACTGTATGATTCACGTAATGATTTCCCTTTGAAAATGAAATCAAACAATAACTGAAAATCAAAAAAAATTTCAAAGAATCATTCAGGAGAAACTCCCAATACTGCAAAGAGCACAAATAAGTTTTCTTCTCCTTCCATACTTTAGTTCTTAATAGGAGGGAGAACTGAATTCTTCAATTAACTCTTAGAATAAACTAGTGTGGCGTAACAGTCTCCAAAATGCCTGTTTAAAAAGACTTGCACTAGTCCTTAGAGGAAGGTGGTTCATCTTCCACATTTATTTAGTCTCTGTTGAACTTGCCAGCAGTGGTATTAGCTGTAATGGTGTCTTTTCATGCTGACATCCAATTAGCAAGTCGACTTGGAAGACAGAGTAATTTCAACATATGCTACTGAACAACCTTCAAATTATAACAACTTTTGGTCACGACTAACTGAGCCAGATTTAAATGCAATTAAATATTTTAATGAGTCCCAACTTTGCTCTTTTCAAAGTCCTTAACTTCTATTACAATTTAAAACTCCCTTAGGAATTCAGTTTTTTCTTCATTGTGCACTTGCTCCAGCAGACATTGTATTCACACAGGGGCTGCATCATAGAAAGTAGACCTTGTCTTTGCTGTGTCAGCTTTAATATTATTGATGTTTACATGTTCATATGACTTGAAAATCAACTCTCATTAAAAGTCATTAGCAGTTTTTCTTTGAACTTGTTCTAAAATGTTAATACTTATAGCATTTTATCTTCTTTTTCACAAAGATGTGGATGTTACAGCTGTTATTAATCATTTAAGAGATGAGAATTTAATTGCCCTTTGTTTCCATTGCTCTGAGCTCTATAATTGTCATAGAATAAAATGGAGAAATTTAAAGGACTGAGCCAAAATTAATTTTAAAAATGAAAAAAAAAGGTAATGGTATAATAAATGAAATGAAAATTCTAACCAAGGAAGTTTTTCTGTTTATATGTATAAAATGAAAGAAAGTAGTCCAGCATCATCAAAGAACTCTATAGAGTATTAATCAGATCTTATTAATATGTAATATGGGGAATTATCTATTTATCTTATTTTTCAAACCCACTTATTGGAGTGCTGAAAGTTTTAATCTTGTTCCCTCAGTAAAGCTGGTTAATTCTAACGCTTACATTCAAAATATCTGAAACCATGCGTAATTATACTGACAGAATGCAGTCTGGATCATTAAACTTTAATTTCCTCTGGAATCTGTGAATAAATATAGAAGGGAAACAATGACAATGTGGCTAGCTGTCATATAAAGCCTCATCTAGTGTTACCTGTCACATCTGCCATTCGAAGTGTATCTAGGAAAAAAGATGAACCTCAGCTACCTCCTTCCAGTTTATGTAGTGTATGAGAGTATTGTTACCTGTACATTTTACTTAAACTTTGGACTGTTTTTGATTTCTGTGTAATAAGATCTTTATATAAAGTAGACTATAATGCTGAAAATAACAAATTTTTTGTCATATGAATATTGGAATGCAACTTTTAGATGAGAAATAACACATTAGTCTATTTGGAAGAATTTTATAAACCTGGCAGGAATTTCACTCCAAATGTCCAAAATTGTACCTTTGTGAACATAAGGTTAGCCTTTTTGAAATTTCACGGATAAAACAACCGAAATTCTCTCCACTTTATGGATTCTCTAGAGTCTTCATCCGGCAAAGTGTGTATCAAATAATGCGTATTAGAAGCCAGTACAAATTCGCAGTGACTGATCATATTCTGGCACAGTGGACTTCTCTTTTTGCTGTTTGTGGAATTTACAGCCTTGTAACAGTATGATGGTGCAGTGCAAACAGCAAGCTCATCTTAGGGTTGACTGAGAAAATAAAGTACATCACACCGATAAGAAAGGTTTTGCTTCTTTAAACAGCTTAAAATGTTTTAAAGAGGGAAGAGTTTAAATAAATAGCTGTCCATATCTGAGTTTCCATACTTGTTTTAGAGTTTGAAGTCTCTAATCAAAAAACTGCATTGTGATTATGTAGTTAGACGAAGGACTGTATCTTGTATTGTAGTCTTTGATTCAGAGCTGTATTACCAGCCTCATTCATTATGATTAGTAATGCCTGATATTATTTAATTAAGTGAATTAAGAGACTAATGGAATTGCTTTAATTTATTGATCAGAGGAGAACAGCAAGAAAGTAACAAGTTCTGAGAATTTCATTCAAAGTGCCTTGGCATTTTGTCTTTAATCTATTTCAGATCGTGCTGAGCCAACATGTTTTATCTGCCTTTTTTCCCTTCTTGTCATGCTTGTAGATTTACTGTTTAAGTCTTCATATTTTTCATTAGTGCCTCAGACAGTGTGATCTTTGTAAAATGCTTGCTTAGAGTTATTTAAAACTCTTGCTAGGAAAAAAAATGACAATGGCTACAGATAAGGAGCAACTTGTGGACTTGGGCCCTGTGGGCATAGTGCTGTCTGTTCCTCCCTTCCCTGCAGAGTATTCATCGACGTTAAAATGTTTTGAGCAGATGGAAAACAGTATGGTTACATAAAAGAAGAGAGGTAAATCACCTCAGGCTTACCTGCACTTCAGGTTTAGATATTTGGTTCGACTCGCATAACTCTGCTTAAGCTAGAATTTGACTTGTTCCTTATATGACCTTCTGACTTTTTTGGTATTGTGGTATCATGCAGTAAAACATCAAAAAATGGAAAAAGGGAAAAAAAAAATGGAAGCTTTGCTGAGGGTACAGGGCCACGTTGTGAAACTGAAAATGATCAGAATCTCCCCACATTCCCTTTGATGGGCATGTCATTCCCATGGCAAGAGACATCTCTGAAAATAAGGGGTGTTAAGAAGATGACAGGAGTCTGTGGGGGAGGATTTGCCTTCTCCTTTGGTTCATACTCATTTTCTCATCAACCAGCAGAAATGAATTCTTGATACCTGTCTGAGGTCAGTATATGCCACGTGGGATGCAGATGTTCGTAATCAGGGCTACAGTGTTTATCGTTGCACTCTGCAAATTTTGTGCAGTCTGTAATGTGCAATTAATGACAGAGGAAGAGCAGCTCCTAAAGAATTACTTTTGAGAGTTGGGCTTTTCTCAGTGAACATCTTTTTGAGTGCGACAGGAACCTGGATCCACTTCTGTTGGTATAGTGGCCTCTTGACTGCTGCTATGTAACTCCTTAATGACTCTTGGCTTTACAGCCCCTAGGGCTTCCCATGAAACAGCCATATTCTTAATGACTCTCCTCTGACTAACTGTTGCTAAGGAACAGACTCCCCAGTCACTGCAGTTCTGTTTGTATATTTGGTCTTAGCATGGGAATTACTCAAAAAGAGAGCATTGTCCTTTTCCTGACAGTCAGAAAGATGGCTTTGAAGGGATCCTAATTGTCCAGCTTCAGGTACTACTGTTCCAGAATTTCTTTGAAGTGTGCAAGCCTGAAGACTCCTGAACCTGTCCTACCAGAGCACAGGAAAACCAAATGGAATATAGTGGCTGTATTTCTGAGAGGAAAAAAACCAATTGCTGGGTTAAAAACACACTTAAATGAAAAGTTTTGAAAACAAATCCAAACCTTGCTTCTTTGCAGTATAGAGCCTTCCTTTCAGTCTGATTTTTAGTTCAGTACCTCTCAGCAGATTTGTGTCTGCAATAGACTCTTCAATGTCTTCTTTATGTGTATAGAAAACTTTTCTTTGCTGTCACATCTTAGACTTAGGTCTGGGTCTGCTCCCTCAGGAGTTCTACTTCTCAGGAATTTCCTAGTTTTGCTTCTGCTGCGGGCACCCTGTCTGCTGTTTTTCACTGTCGACCTGGTATCCTTAGAAGGGCCTCCATGAGCAAAGCATGCTTGGTAGATCTGAGAGAGGATCATTTCTATTTCTTCCAGAGTGTCTGCATGATTTGGAGTGCAGTAGGAGCAGACCCTCACCCTTGGTGGTGGCAGGACAGCTAAATACACAGCTTTTCTCCCTGCTACTTGGCCACTGCCTTTTTAATAGAGTCATGGGTCACAATAGCAAAGGAAAATCATGCCTATCTACTGCACTCTGGACAAAAAGGAAAAAAAAAAAACCCACACAGGGCAACCTATTCCATCCATTGCTTTCTCTTTTAAAACTGAGTGGGAGTGTGTGAGTTTTGACATCTCTTAAACTGTGCATGTAGCGG